GCAGGCCGGGACCAGCGAGCAGCCATTGCGGGGAGGTGGGCAGGGAGGGACGCTCTGGAGCTCAGCAGCTCCAGGCTCAGGTGGGGAAACTGAGGCCCCCCAGACCCATCTGATGCAGCGCTGATGGGACTCCCTCGCTTGACTTATGACTTTAGTCTTTAAAATATACCTTTTCTGCTCCCCCCTCCCCACCTCCCCATCGCTGCGGGTGGACAGAGGGCCAGGCTGAGCACACACGTCACATCCTTGGTGCTGCGGCTTGGTACCTGAGACTGAGAACGGGGCATCCCTAGTCAAAGATAAGCACCCGACGTTGATGACTGATGCTGGGGAGGAGGCGGAGTCCCGCAAACCTAGACACAGCTCACACTAATGTGCCGCACCTTTGGGTGGGGAGTGAGCTAGAGCCACCTTCCATAGAAGTGAACGCCCATTTAGGGGGATGGCCTGACCTGCCAACCCTCAGGGCAGAGCTGAAAGGGATTCTGGGGATGCGAGGGGGCGGGCCGGGGCGAAGATTCACCCTAACGCTCAGGTTCTGTTGCTCAGGTTCTGTTTCACGTGCAAGTATTGTTTGGGTAAAATTAAAATGTAAACACATCAACTTCCTAATCTCATTTTAAAAAATCTAAGCTTTTCAAACAGTAACCAAGACAGCAACACTGTATACTGCCATTTAGCTCTACACTTGACCATTCAAGAAATGCCAAGAAAATTTCACGCAGTTGAGAATTCCCAAATTCAAGGCACAGCCTTAAGCGTGCTAGGGCTTACCTGAAATTTTTTCCTGGGACATTAAAGTTTAGTTCAAAAGAAGACAATGTAATTAAGATATCCCTGTTGGAATTTTCTTGCCATGTGAATGACCTAAAACATATTCCCAGCAAGTAGTTTATGGCAAACGTGCTTGACTTGAAAGGAAGCTCACGCCCACTTTTTGGACATTCACTTCCTGTTCCTGTGATCCACAGGGCAGGACTCCCTAGAAGGCTCTAGCGGCTTCTTCAGATTAAAACTAGGATGGCTTTATACAAATTATATAAACAAACCCTCCAGCTGAAATATTTACGTATCAGATAAAGCTGACAGTCCCGTGAGCAGCATGGTATCCCTAATCACGCTGCCTTGCAACGGAGGGTCACGGTGAAGGAAGTCCTTTCAGCCCTTTCTGGGGGATTTGCATACATGTGTGGAGATGGCTTTATGCTAATAATTTTATGGTGGAAATAATCATGTTGAACTCAGCTGAGTTCAGGGGGTGGGGGTGTGAGGGGCAGACTACAACTGTAGGGAGAGACGGCAGCTAATGTAAATCCAAGAGCCCAAGTAAAAAAGCGAGTGGCTTGAATAGCTCAGGCAAGCGCACTGCCCCATCCACTCATTCACACATCAGGCATCTTTACTGAGCATGTTCCCAGGTGTCAGGTGTCACCTCTGATGTGCACAGCCACCCAGACTGCTGGCCACAGGCTGCTCTTCGAGCCCTGCTGGGTGACTCCCCTCAAACCCGTTTCTAAGTGAGCCCCCTTCCTGGGCCTGCTACTCTCCCCTCCTTCTGCTAGACTCGCCTGCCATGGTCCCCTCACCCGCCTTGGACACTTACAACCCTTTTGATTGGTTCTCTTGGTTAACTCCTCCCACTGGAATCTGATCTCCAGCTACAGCTGTGGTTCTCAACCTTGGCTGCACATTAGAATCACCTGGGAATCTTTTTAAAATCCTGATTTCTGGGCCTCATCCTCCGGAAATTCTGGTTTTTTGTTACTAATATTGTGGCCCCACCCCATAACAAAGAAACAGAATCGGTATCGGTAGTTACTGAGCAGCTACTATATGTCAGGCACTGCTCTAGGCACAGGACAAGGGAGTGGATGAATGAATGGATGTAGAGTGAAAATCCACATCCCCACTTACCAGCCTTCCTTCTCAGCCAGAGCACGAAGCCAGTGCCGTTCACTCTGCCTGGCCCCAGGCCTTTTTCTGCAAACCTTGGTTTCTCATCTCGGCCCCAAGTGCCCCAGCTTGGTACCTGACTTACAACCTCCTTGTTAACAGAACAAAGGAGTCGGAAACAAAGGCTGTAGTAGACTGGATTAATGCTTTTATTAATGATAACATTCATACTACATTTCTAAGATTTACAACCAAAAGATCATATTGTATTTACATGCAATGGACAGTCCAAGCTAACAAATTCAAACCACAGTTCTGGTTAAGACCATGGTTTGCTCCAAATTAAATTAAATACATAATACTCTTACCTCTTCCTTTCAACATGTACAGTAAAAACCCACTCTTCCATCTTTTAAGGAATATAAAAATTGCATTGACAACTGCACTGATTAGCAAAAATATTTAAAACCTGAGAGATAAGCCCAAATATATTTGAGTGCTAACACGTGTACATTTGAACGCTTGGTAACACAGACTGGTCAGTGGTCAGTAACGCGTGATGCAGGGGCTCGGAGGGCCTGCGGGGCTCGGGCGG